TTTTTCTTCAATATTTTATTGCGTTTTAAGAGGTCAGGGGGAAGGGGTACAGAAGAGAAAGGGATGCGCTGTACAGACATTACAGACAATACTCGGGATTAGTTCCACCCCTATCCAAAGTGGATCAAATATATAATACGTTTGCTTCCCTCTTCTCGTTTGACTTTCATGTAACACCAATACATGGGGAGCCCCGGGTATCGTCACTCTTATGTCAACTCCATGGACATTCACGTCCTGTTTATGTCGTTCCCGTCCTCTGGCGATATGGGATGGGGAAACTAGGGAAAGGTTAAGGTTAGTGATGGGGAGGGGTGTCAGTCTACCAATAGTAGAGGTATATGTTTAGGGTTTAAAGCCGCTATGACTTTAGAGAGTTTGGGTTCTGTTGGCGCCAAATGTCCCACTGGTCCCATGCCGCCCGCCAGATCTCCCCATTGGGTCTGAGGCGTCCCCATTGGGTCTTAGGCGTCTTGCTTCTCATACTGTTTTTCATACTGTTTTGTGGTCTCTACCTCACTCAAGAATTGCCCAATGTCTGGCGAGAGATCCCAGAGCCACATCCTTCCTATTGCTGCCAGGGCTGCAATGATAATATGATACATGAGATGTAGAGTTGCTTTGGGGAAACCCCTCGGCAGTACCAATAGTAAATACGTCTCTGGTCTGTGTGGTAGCTTCTTGCCTGTTACTGCCTGTATCGTGGTCGAGATACCCTTCCAGAACCCCGCAAGTCGTGGGCAAGACCACTAAATGTGGAGCATGGATCCGGGTTCTGCTCGGCATCTCCAACACAAATTGAATCTTTCATGGGCCATTTTGTGCATTCTTGTGGGAACCATGTACATCCTATAAAACACTTTCCTACTCAGTTCTATATGAGATGCATTGAGAGTGAGGTTCTTGTGTGCAAGGAATGTGTGCCCATTGTTCGTCTGTTTTGTGGAGATCCCTTTCCCAGGCCCCCATAAAGGATGGTCTCCCTATTTTAGTAGTAACTGGTATATTACGGATAGCCATTTGGGGGAAAGTTTCGGGGCCATGCACAATTTTTCCATTTCCGTCAACAGGGAGTTGCACGGTTGTGGGATATCTGCTTTGAGATTCTTTCTTACCCAAGACTGCACTTGCATGTGCGAGTACTGTGCTTTCGCTGGAAGCTGGTAGTTTTGGACTACAGAGGGAAAATCGAATATGTGGCCCTCTATTAATATTTGAAATATATATGTTACCCCATGTTTGTGCCACATACCATAGTCGAAGTCGGGAATAAAGAATTGTAAGGCTTGTATCGGCATAGCGTGGGAAATGTAGGTATCAAGTCGATGACTTGTAAGGAGTCTGTCCCATGTGTGAATCGTTGCTGCTGGAGTTATCGTTTGTTGGGATTCTTTGAAAAATGTACTGGGTAATCTAATTTGTAGGGTTCTAAAGAGGTATTGCCATCTTGGTAAGATCATCATTTTAACGGCAGCTATTCTGCCAGTCACGATATATATTTTTGTCTCCAACTTTGGAGCTGTTGCTTAATTGAGTTGTGTAGTTTTAAGTAGTTTGCTTTGTATAGTTGGTTTGTTTGGGGTGTGAGGTTGACACCTAAGAAGGTTAAATGGGACCGTTGCCAGTCATAAGCATGGGTAGTTTGTAGTTCCAGGAGTTTGGATTTAGTTATGTTGAGGCCCATGGCTTGCGTTTTAGTTGTGTTCAGCTTGTAGTAGGAGCAGTTGCTGAATCTTTATAGGACAGTTTGCAGTGTGGGGAGAGATATCTCGGGTTTAGACAGCGTGAGCATTACATCATCGGCAAAAAGGGTAAGTTTATGCTCCCTCCCTCCTGCCAATATCCCGTGCACATCTGGTGAACTCCTTATATGCTGTGCTAAGGGTTCCAGCGCTAGTATGTACAATAGGGGGGATAACGGGCATCCCTGCCTAGACCCATTTGAGATGGAGAAGGGTTTGGAGGTGAAACCCCCATTTGATATTTTTGCGGTTGGGTTATCATAAAGTGCTGATACTAGTGTAATGAAGCATTCCGGGAAGGCCAGCCTCCTAAGTACTGTTTGTAGGTAGCCCCAGTGCAGTCTGTCAAATGCTTTTTCAGCATCCAGTGACATCCAGTGACATTACCACACTGGAGACTCTCAGTTTTCTGTATAGTCTGAAGAAGGTTAATCAATTTCCTGGTCCCGTCCGAACCCTGTCTCCCTCGTATAAACCCAACTTGATCGTCATTTATCAACTTGGGTAAGATGGTCCCGAGCCTGTTGGCATAAATTTTGGCTAGTATCTTTTGGTCTGTATTTAATAGCGAGATGGGGCGCAAATTTTGGCTCCTATTGGGTGGCTTTCCGGGCTTTGGCAGAGTCGTTATATGAGCTAGGAGCATTTCCTTAGGGACTGTACCGGTGGTTCGTATGTGGTTGTATAGTTTCTCTAGTTGGGGGCTTAGCAAATGTGAAAAAGTTTTATAATATAGGTTTGTGAAACCATCCGGGCCAGGGGATTTCCCCTTGGGAAGCGATTTGATCGTGAGCTCAATCTCTGTTCGTGGAATAGGTTCTGCTAGCAATGTTTGGTCTGGGCGTGTAAGCTGCTGTAGTTGGACATCGTTTAGGAACGAGTCAATTTCTGCTTGAGATGGTTGGTATGTCTGTGCGTCTGTTTTTAAATTGTAAAGGCCATCATAATTGTCCGCCAATGTGTCATTGATCGCCTGTGGGTTATACATCCTATTCCCCATGCTATTGAGGAGATATGGGATCTTTGCGTTTTGTCGTTGCTGCCTTAATAACCTTGCTAGGGTTTTCCCCGCCCTATTCCCTTGTATATATGTCGTCTGTTTTAGTTTGTGTGTCAAGGGCCGTTTGTGTGTCAAGGGACAGTTTGCAACTGTTTATTATTCAATTCCCCTCTTAAGTCATCTATGCGTTGTTGCGTTGACGGCGTTGGGGCTTTGGTTTGTTTAGAGGTTTCTTCCCTTAGGGATCTCAAAAGATCTATGTATTCCTGTCTGGATTTTTTGTTAAGATATGACGCTTGACTAATTAGTAGGCCTCTAACTACTGCTTTATGTGCCTGCCATTGTGTGGTTACGGCGGTATCTGGAGTACTATTTAATTCAAAGAAGGAGTTTATCCCCTCTTCCAGCTTAGTTGTCAGGTCCCTATTTGGGAGAAGGCGCCACGGGGCCACCCCCCCGTGAGGGGAAAGTGTCTTCTAACGTCAAGTGCACCGGGGTGTGGTCCGACCACACTATATTCCCTATCTCACTATGTGTGGCTTTCGGCAGTAGGTCTCCCGAGATGAATATAAAGTCTATACGGGTGTACGTTTTGTGTACCTGGGAGTAGAAAGTGAATTCCCGGCTATTCGGATGATGTGCTCACCACACGTCATATAGGTGGTATTCTGACAAGAGTTTCAAAAGGAAATCCTCCTGTCTTCCCACCACTCTTTGCCTATGTGACTGTTCCGAAGCGGTGGTATCCATACGAGCATATAGTACATGATTTAAGTCCCCGCATTTAATCGTGGACGCCTGCACAGTGGTGGGGATTTTAGAGAGCAATTTCCTGAGAAAATTCCCCTGGTTGTCATTGGGGCTATATATTCCCACCAAATTATAGACAACATCATTAATTTTACAGTGCAGTATAATGTATCTGCCCTGGGTGTCTTTTTTTAAAAACAGAAGTTCAAATGATATTGATGCATGGATTAGCAAGGGAACACCTCTGGATTTGAGAGTGGGTGGAGTGATATTGTGTGGGGTAATCTTTAGAGGCAAAGTTGGGAACCTTATTATGTGCGAAGTGGGTTTCTTGTATGCAGAGAATGTCTGTCTGTCTATGCTTGGCATCCTCCAGAAGGAACCATCTTTTGTAGGCGTGTTTAGGCCGCGAACATTAATAGTTTGTATTTTCATAAATCAGTTGGTGGTGCGTAACCTCTAAGTGGTATGGCAAGCAACAATATAACATCACAAAGCACCAGGGAGATAAACCTGGTCTAGGCACTGGGATGCCCCTGCGGCTTGGATGCCTAAATAATTCATCCGTAAGCACGAGGAGGCAGTAATGTATGGGCCTGTGAGCGCCTGTGTTTAGTAGCGTGTTTATATTCACCTGACCTACTTGAGGGGAAACAGGGGGAAGGGAGGGAAACTTGAAAACTATGTACAAATCGCCTCCTAAGGAGACGGTAAGTGGATCATCCACATCTGGGGTACGGTGGAGAGATTGTGTCTCCATTAGATTGGCTGTATGCACCTCTGTGTATGTGTCGCCGCTGCTAACACAATGGACATGTTCAATTTGTTTGGTGAGCAGTATTCTAGTGGGTCAGAGTCAGGCCCCACCCATGCCCACGTCCCCAGGTATAGCATACATCTGAGATGGCTACCCTGTTCTGCAGTCCTGTTGTCATAACCACTGACAATAGTCATTAGACTGGCCAACATCAGACCCCCCCATCCCGCCACCCACCCCCCCCACACCGGACCCCATTCCTATCTGCTCCTCCAATTACCACCATTTAAGCACCGTCCAACATGCATGCAGTTGGGCAGAGGACAGCTGTAAGTCCGCTAGCCAGTTGGCAGTGTCCGTATCCAGCATTATTATGCCGTGTAGCGAATTACTTGACCGTTGCCACCTCTCGGTCAGTTCATAGTCCCGGGGAAGCCAAGCGCAGGGCAGGGGGGAGACTGGCAGGGGAACAGGTAGAGCCCTTACCTCCTTCGTGCAGCCCGGTCCGGGGATCCCCGCAGATGGTCCCGCTCTGCTCGCGCCTCGTCATGGGGTCGGCGGGGAACCCCAGACCGGACAGCCCATCCGGAGTATTCTGTCCCACAAGCCCTCTCCCGCCCCGGGCATCCAGTCCGAAACCCACGCGGGGGGGAGATGGCGCGAAGGGCACATCCAAGGGCAGCCATCTTGCAGAGTCTGGGGTCAGTGCATGTGCCGGTCCCACTCTCCTTCGGTCAGGACCCGGCTGGTCTCAATGCTTCTTAGCGGCCTTGTTCCATTCCGCAGTAAGTTTCCCCGCGGGTTTGGCTGTTGACACTGTCTGTGTTACTTGTAGGTTCCATACTTGCAGCTGCTTTGCACCGTCGTCTGGGTTTGCGAGGGTAGTAATGCCTCCATCTTTGGCAACCAGTAGCTTAGTGGGAAAACCCCACTTATACTTAATGCCATGCGTTCTCAGGGTAGCTGTAATCTTGTGAAATGCTTTCCTCTTCCTTAATGTTACCGCTGATAGATCCGCATATATCTTGATGGTAGGGTAATCTGGAGGTGGTGTGGCCCGCATCTTACTGCCGCGAAGGATGTGTTCCTTAATATGATAATAATGTGCCCTCATGATCACATCTCTCGGCACTGCTTGTGGAAGGTACTTGGGCTTGGGGATGCGGGGGATGCATGGGATGCGGTGGATCCGGTCTACCAGCAACATATCCGCTGGTATCTCAGGGGCATGGGCATGCAGCAGGCCTCACACATATGCTGGTAAGTCTTCATTAGTGACCTCCTCTGGGATGCCCCTCAGGCGCAGATTATTTTGACGAGAGCGATCTTCCAGATCCTCCAACTTCCCCTCGAGAGCATCCAGCCTGGCCGCCATGTGTTCTACATTAGAGGCTAAGTCGTTGTGGGCCGTAGCAAACTCGTCACATTTGTCCTCCATGTGGGTTGTTCGTCTTCCCAGCTCCTGGATGTCCTTCCTCATAGATTCTGCCATATGCTGCCAGGAGGAGATCAGCTTGGTAGACAGGCTGTCTAGTGCCGATGCCAGGTCGGCCTTCGTGATTTGGGCATTGTCTGCGGGTGTCAGCTGGGCCCGCCATCAGATTCCATGCCTTCGTCTAGATTTTAGGCCTGTGCAGCCACGGATGCAGGTAGTTGTTTCTGGCTGAAAAAATTGAGATTATCCGGTTTCCCGGAGCTCTTCTTACTCTTATGGTGCGACATTGCCAGCACACTGTGTAGGATGGTGAGTTACCGCTCAGGATTACTGTAGATTAGGTGCTTGATGCCGGAGCAAGGGAATTATGGTCCCATCTTGCTCCGTAGCTGGCCACGCCCCCCTTCTAAATGTGTTTAACCTTGCCTTTTCCCATTGTATCCTTCCATTTGAGTACACCTGTCAGCTGGGAGGGCTAATTTCCAGTGCTTAGCAGAGCTCACATTTATTTCAACAGAAACTCTTGCTCTAAACCATTGGTTCCCATTGCAAAACTCACACACTCACTCAAGACAGTTCACAAGGATATATAATCTTGCTGGCTCTTCTCTGTTTCAACGTGTAAAAGAAAAGGAGAGCCCTCCTTCAGAGGTACTGCCTTACTGAATGAAAAGCACAAAGTATAAACCAAGATCAACATTTTATTTCACCATGACATTCTCCATGATGCCATTGCAATGAGAGAACCATGTTTATATATGAAAGCTATATGACATGTAACAAAGTACATGAAAATAAGAAAATCACCTGTGATAAAAACACCCGTGACAAAAAGATATAAATGCTTGAATCCCAAACAAGGTGTGAATAATACTGACCCATTCAAAGATTAATAACCACACCAGAATGACCAAGGAAACACACGAGAACTACATATATAAAAAAACATAAAAATGTCAGACTCAAATAATGAAAGGTAAACATATCGACACAGATTAGTGAACTAAACCACCAAGTAGTGCTGCCAAGAACAAGGACAAGAAGAGTAATATTGACAGCTCTATCGAGAAAATATGTAAAGACTCCAATGGTGACATCACCACTTGTGTGAGGTGGCCTGGGAGTGCAGCATAAGTGAGATATACTTACCTGATCCTGCCCTCAAAAGGCACCGTCATCATCTTTCTTCAGCTCCTGGTACTTCATCCCACAGGAGCCCACGTCAGTGCTATACTCTTGAGCATCTTCAAGATACAACACCGATGTGTATGGAGGACAGCATTGAAGGTTGGGGAAACTGACAAAACTTGATGATGGTAGCTCTGCCTTTTGTCAAATTTTGTCAAGGGGAGGAAATATACTTAAGACCAAGTAGTCTCTACTTTGTCTTAGTAAATCTTTTTATGAAATTGGATCTCAAAGAAATACAATTTCATTTCACAGTGAAATTGTATCTCATAAATATTTTATCTTTTTTGAATAACTTTGGTGACAGAGTTGCTTTAAATAAAGCTTAAATACAGACATATTTAACATGATTCGATAAACCTTAGCGTATAAGAACTAAATTAATTTTGTCAAAACCCGCCAACTGCATAAAATCTACACTCGGAATACCGGAGACAGACAAAAATAGCAGATGAAAGAAAGTAACACAGTTAACAGAAAATGTTTAGCACATTATAAACTTTCCACAATGTGCATAGAACATGCTGTGACAGAACTGCAGTACCTTGCAAAAAATAGCTTTTTAGCCCATTCTCCCACATCCATCAGTAAGTTTCAGGTTACTTGTGTTCATTTTCTCAAAGATTTGAATGCAGTGTTTGACTCATTGACTCATTAAGGTCTCTCTATTACCAGAAAAGAGATAAGTTGGACCATGTCTCTAATGAGAGCTGTACATAGCCTAGTTCACTAAACAATAAACTAGACCAGGGCTTGGCAACCTTTTAGTAGTACTGTGCCAAAACAAGATCTTGAAGTCTCTTGGTGTGCTGGTCCTATTTTCTTTTAATTATATGTTGTTGTATTCTGCTTGTTATTTATGGGTGCTGCAGTTGCTTTGTAGAGCAGCAGGAAATGCTAGCAGAATGCTCGGTTGTGTAGGGAGCGGTATTATAAGTAGAACGAGGGAAGTGCTCATGCCATTGTACAGAACACTGGTAAGACCTCACTTGGAGTATTGTATGCAGTACTGGAGACCGTATCTCCAGAAGGACATATCGTCCACATACACAATTCCATTAGCAGCCCCGATTCATAGGTGCCGTACACAATACCACAATCTACTCATGAACATATATAATGTAACAACCCACAGTTCAAATACAACATACCCACTCAGTCCCCTTACCCACTCACAGTCCCCCTACGCACCTTACTGAACCCCCTACCCACTCACAGTCCCCCAACCCAACTTACAGACCCCCTACCCATCTCACAGCCCCTCTACCGCTTTACATCCATTCTACCTTCTCACAGCCCCCCACCCTCTCACAGCCCCACTACCCTATCACAGCATTTCTACTCAAACCTTGTCACAGCCATCCCCACCCTGTCTCCCCACACACCATCACAGCCCCCCACAAACCCTGTCATAGCACCCTCACACACCCTGTCACCTCCCCCTCATACAAGAACCCTGTCGCCTCCCTACACACCATGTCACCCTCCCCCACACGCCTGTCACCCTACACACCCTGTCACCCACCCCCACACACACACACATACTCTATCATCCCCATACACACACGGACACCCCCTCCATACACTATCACCATCCACAATCACTCTCAGCCCCACACACTGTCACCCCTTCACCCAGCTATATATATATGCAAATTAGCATATATTATTTTTTTAGGGGGGAGGTGGATCTTGGGTGAGTTCCCACACTTTTTTCCCCTTTTTTTTTGTCGGACGTACCTGATACATCCAAGGTCAGGAAGGGGTTAAGCATGCGTGGGATAGTCATAAGGCTATCCTTGCTATAAGATAAGGCTAGAGACTAATGAAAGTATTTAGAGAATGGGCAGACTAGATGGGCCAAATGGTTTTTATCTGCCGTCACATTCTATGTTTCTATGTTGTATTTGCACTTTGGGTTGTTACATTATATATGTTCATGAGTAGTTTGTGGTATTGTGTATGGCACCTATGAATGTGGGCTTTGTATTGGGGTTGCTTGAGGAATTGTCTATGTGGACGATATGTCACATAGTGTGTTTGGTGGTGCCTGTGAGGCTACTTGGGGGTTGTATGTGTGTATGTGGATTGTCAGTGGTGTGTTTGTGGGGGCTGTATGTGTGTGTTTGTGCATGGGCTGATTGTATTATTTGTATGAGGGGGAGGATTCTTCTGCAGCTCTGTGTATATCTATGTGGGTGGCTTCCCTGGGACCAGTGGGGACAATGGTGGCCAAGGGAAGGATCTGCGATAGCTGCTGCTCTACTTCAGAGCTGATTCAAGTTCACAAGTGCTGAGAGGAAGTGCTTCGATTAATTAGGTTCTGCAATGCAAGAATTGAGCATTATGCCTCACCTTGGTTTGCACTAGCAGATATCTGAAATCCCACAGGGACTCCTGATAGGCCAAAGCCTGTTTGTCTCTGGCAGCCTTGAGTACCATGCATGGTATATGTGCCATAGGTTGCTGACCCCTGAATAAGACCAACAGCAAGCATGATATGGTGGCTATCAGGTCAAGAGCTGATCCATTTCTAAGTGATGTGTGGAACACCCTTTGGGGATACACTTCTTAACTACCAACATATTAGTGTTATAATACATAAAAAATTAGGTCAGTTTTATTCCTTAATTTCCCTTTTAGGTAGCATATAGTGTATTTATACCATCGGCTGGAGTTGTAAGGGTCCTTATTTTCTCAGTGATTCTGTTAGGAAACAGAGCCTTCAATTCATGGACTCCAAATTCTTCTCAAAAGTATCAGTCTCCCCCACAGTCTGGCAAGTGAATTTATTCAGTAAAACCATAAATAAAAAAACTGAGTACATTTAGTTTGTGTGCAATCTAAACATGATAACATCGTCATTAATAGTGGATTTAGGGATTTCATGGTGTTGCACTGAATCCAGTTGGTATAAAATTCCTTCTACCATTTTATTCCAACTTCGGCAGTTTTGCTGACAGTGTACCAAATAGAGATTTGTTCACAGAGAGTGAATGTGTAAAAAAGGTAGAAAACCGCTCAGCACTATCAACTGGGGAAACTCTTCCAATAAATAATGCAAACAAGGCCTACATCCATTGACGTGTTATTTGTTGATTTAGAGAGTGTTTGCAAAATGTATTCAACTCAGCATTTTTTCCAGATCAGCCACTTTGGCCTAACACTTGCAATTCCTTTTTGACTTTTCCATAATTATGTTTAGGGAAAAATTATACAGAACGAAAAAGACAACTGCCAAATTCGGTGTGCAGTTCAATTTACCCGCAAGTCATAAATATAAACAGAACTCGCCTATTAATTTTTTAGTCATAACGTCTCAGTGGCTAAGACAGAATTCCAAATTACATATCAAGATCACTCTTTGGATTCCTATGTATAGCGCTTGTTATTTTAAATAAAAAGAACTGTTTGATTATACATTAAAGGGTTTCTTCAAATACCATGACCAAGGATTTGAAATACTGCATATACAGAGTTCACCACATTTG